TAAACATCAGCTTTTATTTATACTCTGGGATATACCTTAACAATCAAACAACTCTAAACTCTAAACCCTAAACCCTAAACCCTAAACCCTGCATTTCATCTCTAACTCGCAAGGACCTCTGTTGGCTGTCTTGCGAGACTCTAAACCCTAAAGGCTAGACTCAAAACCCTAAACCCTAAACCCTAAACCCTAAAGCCTAAGCTGAAGACTTTAAAGCCTTCTTCTCTTCAAAGAGCTCCTTCTTTGCTTGTGTATAATCGGCGGCTTCCGCTTGCTCTGCGTGCGGACTCCGAGGGTTTAGGGTTTAGGGTTTAGGGTTTAGAGGATGTTTGAAGGGGGGTATTGGGGTTTAGCTATCTTCTTGCTTACTCTTCTCTGGTGTTTTGTTCATTACCGCTACTTAGCTCTCCCTGAACGCCCTCAGCGGCAGCCACCCAAGAAGTAAAGCACACAAACCCTAAACCCTAAACCCTAAACCCTAGACCCTAAACCCTAAACCCTTGGCTGCAGCTTGCAAAATGAAGACCTAACTCGCTAGACCCTGGGAAGCCGCTTGAAACCCTGATATTTGGACACGAGAAAGTGCAGCGGTACGAGGGTTTAGTGTTTAGGGTTTAGGGTTTAGGTTTTAGGTTTTAGGGTTTAGGGTTTAGGGTTCAGGGTTCGCGGGTGTGTTTCTTTTCTTAACAGGAAGAAGAATGTCGTCTCTCTGAATCTAAGAGGGGTAGGGAGACCCTGCGGCCCTTGCAGTGTTTGGCCTTTAGGGTTTGTGTTTCTGCGTTTAGGGTTTAGGGTTTAGGGTTTAGGGTTTAGGGTCTAGGGTTTGCGGTGTACGTACAGTCGCTGCTGGATCCAGCAGATTTAAGCATTCGCAAGACGCATTTGGAGGCCTTTCTGAAGCTCTGCAAACTCTGCAATGTTTATACATTAACAAAGGTATGCTGCGCGTAGGGTTTAGGGTTTAGGGTTTAGGGTTTAGGGTTTAGGGTTTACGGTGTTGCTGGGGCGCAGGTCGATAGCGATGCAGAAGAGAAGCTGGTGCTCAACCTGTTAGAAGAATGCGGCGCCTTCAGTGCAGGACTTGCGAAACACGTAGGGCCTAGGGTTTAGGGTTTAGGGTTTAGGGTTTAGGGTTTAGGGTTTGGGGGAGCGCCACGTACAGGAAGATCAGTTGTATGACTTAGGGTTTAGGGTTTAGGGTTGACGCAGCAACATGTCAGCTAAATAAAAGCTGTGCAGCGAGCAATCTCTGCTTGTGCTGCCGAGCGTTTAGGGATTAGGGCTTATGGTTTAGGGTTTAGGGTTTGGGGTTTAGGGTTTAGGGTTTAGGCTTTAGGGTTTGCCTTGCAGCGCGTTATGTTCTGCTCTACACAAAATGGAGCGGTTGCAATGATTCGGCAGCTGCAGCCGCACGTGCACATAGAGGGTAAACCCTAAACCCTAAACCCTAAACCCTGAACCCTAGCAGCGAGGCCTGCACCTAAACCCTAAACCCTAGCTTGCCACCAAACCCTCAACAGGGGGTGTAGACCCTAAACTCTAGTTGTAAACCCTAAACCCTAGTTTCTAACCTTATTAATCGAAGGGTTTAGGGCTCGTGGCTAGGGTTTAGGGTTTAGGGTTTAGGGTTTGAGGTGTCTCTGCAGATGATGCGTTCATTGCCGAGCAACTAAACGGCAAAGTACGTGCAGTCTGCTCCCCTCAAGATGGTCTTCAGGTAAACCCTAAACCCTAAACCCTAAACCCTAATAGGAGCCGTTCGTGCTCCTGCGAACTTCGCGCAGCTTCTAAGGCCTCTCAAACCCTAAACCCTAATCACAAACTTTAGGCTTTTGCTGTAAAGCCTAAACCTCCATCTCAACTGTACAGCACGCCTATTATACCTGCATCTTTTACATTTGCTGCTGTTGCTGTTGCTGTTGCTGCTGCTGTTGCTGTTGCTGTTGCTGCTGCAGCAATGCGTGGATGTGATGGAGGGGGACGGCGCGAGGGGGCAGTGAGGCGTTTTAGGGTTTAGGGTTTAGGGTTTTGCTGCTGCAGTTGGTGTCTCCTTCTGTCTGCTCGTTGTCTCTCTTTTTCTTCATCTGTCTGTCTCTGCATTTATTTATTTTTTTTCTATCTCTTTTTTTGCTTTCTTCTCAGTGCATGCGTTGTTTGTTTTTATTATTTTATCTTTATTTTTATATTTATACGTTTTGTCTCTGTCTTTCTATCTATCCACCTGTCTCCTCTCATATATATATATATATGTATATATATATGTATATGTATATATATATATATGTATATGTATATATATATTATATTATAAATACAATAGCGCTTTATCTATAATATAAATTATAGATAATATTATATATAATATAATATATATAATATATAATATATATATTATATATTACACATAGTATATGTTATATATTATATATATTATATATAACATATATTATATATAATATATATAATATATATTATATATAACATATATTATATATAATAT